GTGGAGATATAAGCAGCTTGTTTAGCTTCACAGAGGCAATGGAGCAAGCAGGCAGGAAAGGTTTCTTCTCTTTCAGCCTTTCCTTTTGGGTGTGCTGACATATCGATTGGAGAGTGTTCAAACCTTAGCACAGGCAAAAACGTCTGTGTCCGTTCAACTCGCCATGTACCCAGGTTCCCATGGCAACCGGAGGCCGTGTCTCCAAGCAGCCTACAGGTTTCCATCAGTGCCTGAGGTGTTGGTTCCCTACATCCACCAATCAAAATCTCTCTGTCTTTAGAAAAAATAGAAATTGTTAGCTGCCTCTATTTTCATTTTAAGGGAACAAATCCCCTGTGGTGGTGGTCAGGATAGGACATTTAGCACGAGGTGACTGCCGACTGTACATCATTTGAAAATATCTTCCTTTTTTCCCCCCACATTGCAATTTTGTCCGTGTTTGGAGCATTTTTCTCTTTTTTCTGCTGATCAAGCACAAAACACTTTGTGACAATTTTTGTTTCCTGGAGGAGCCTCTCAAAAAATGAATTGCTTGCCCTTATTAAACATATGTACTGTCACTAAAAGCTGAACTCACAGTTTGACCACATGCGTTATAAATGGGTGCTCGGTTAAATAGGATAATAGACCACAGATGGAGCGGCTCCATTTTTTCACTGGGAAACCTACACGAAACAACATCAAGTCAATGCGACGGGACTGAACAACTTTTTGTTCTGTTATTGGTGGGTGTAATTAACTTGTCTCACCTGGGGGTGCAGGTCCCATGAGTGAATCACAAGAAACTGTTGACAAGATGCATTTGCTACCAGGCCAGAAAAAGAATTGCAGGAGCTTTAAGTTGAAAGCAATAAACTACAAGAATTTACTGGTTTATTCTTGGCCGAAATTCTTAAAGGATGTTCAGGTTGGATCTTTTTAGAAAACTCGAAAACACTCGAGAACACAGAGCAATACCACCAACTTTTGCCAAGCCATGAAATCAATACTCGACCCCCAACACATGGCCCCAAAGGTTTGCTTCACATTTTTCTCGTAAAAGATTTCCAGCGCGTTGGTGAGTGCAGTATAAAAAAGAAATTGATTGGAACACAGTCTGGGTCATCTTTGTCCGTGCACAAAGCCCGTACAGGTACTTTTAAGAAAGGGCAATCATTTTATGTGGATATAATAAAATGTCTGTCATCTTTGGAAATCGAAATGCTGTAACATTGCACAAAAAGGAAGGTCAGTGCTACAATGCAACAGTATGAAATACAAATGAAACCTATCATTTAGTTGTGATTAAAGTTGGCGGAACAGGAAACTGAAAATATTGTACTCGATACCTATTATCTTTAAATGTTACATAAGGCTTTCAAGACTAAAAAACAAAGCAAAAGTTAAATGAAATTAATATACTAAAACAGAAAGAAAGTCTGAGTTATGACTTTGAAAGACAAACTGTTGTAAAGTGGAAAAGATCATTCAGAAGTACCTTCTTTTGAGAATCCTTTTATTTTTTTGTTTAGTCCCTAGAGTGTAATGGGACAGCTATGATGCTTCGTGTTTTGGTATTTACTGTCAAGGGACTAAGGGAGAGGCAGAATATGTTGGCGGGTCCAACCTCCACTGGAAACACTTCTCTCTCACTGCTGGGTAATTTTCTTAGTCACAATATTTGATCAAGCACTCCCTTTTAGGGGAAGATTGGATGCTGTTATCAGTTTGGATGCTGCAAACTGTGAGTTTTGGACTCAACTTGTTCTTTAAATATATTCTCACATGCTATAGTATAGAGTGGGGCAGTAATAAGTCCTAAAAAAGCATTTTAACACTTCCCGTGATGTGTATATAATTGTTTTTTGAACATGTTTGAAGTTAGAAGCCTTAAATGTGGTCTTTGGTTACCACAAGCTTAAGAGATGTTTACGTTTTGTTGTACAACATAAAACATTTTAATAATTTGTCCGCCTTTACCTTATATGTTGTGCTGCACAGCCATTCAACTGACATTTAGATATTTTGTAGCATCACATTAGCTTTTTATTTCTGCCGATTGCATTTATGCATACAAATACAAACTGGTGTTGATATGTGGAGATTATCATATCAAAAAGTGTTGAGTCTCATAACTGTGTGTTGGCCAAATAGCTCTTTTTTTGCAATATACCGAAACCCAATGGGGAAATCCAATTGCTTTTTGAAACTTTGGGATGCTAACTTCTGGGTCGCCCACAAAAATAGCATCACTCTATTCCTTCATTTGTCAAAATCGTCTTGTCATTGCAGACTCAGTCACCCACTACTGACCTGCAGTAACCTTTTTCCCGTCTTTTCATCACCTGACCTTTCCCGCTCAAATACTTGCCTGCCTCCGATTTTCCTTATCAGCCTTGCAGTATATCAAAGATTAATGTGTAACTCCCTTTGGATCACTTTGGAAGATTTTGCAAGATCAATTCGATATTTTAATTATTCTGATTGGTTGTCATGGCAGTGTAATTGAGGTCAATGTGCATTGCAGGAAGGCAACACATTTTGCTCCCCTGTCTGGCTATCCGGACTCTATATTGAAGCTTATACTTTGAGAACACTACAGAAATGACTTCTGTCAAGATCAACATTCACTGACAGAAAACCTTAGGGAAAAGGTTTAAATTCCAACAATGTCTTGGCTTCCTTCAATATTGTAAAAACATCAGCTGTCAGCCATTATTTCTTCCTGAATATCAATGATACTGTTACTGACACAAGTGCCAACTGAAGAGTTCCTGTTGACTAAACTATGTGAGAAGGCCAGGGTGCCTCTTTTTAGATCTGTTTTGTTTGTCTGCCTTTTGCATTCCCTCTTCTGAAAAGAGGAATGTTATCTTTAGAATCCAATGTTTGTGTATTCACAGCAGGGGCGGACTGGGACTAAAAGTGATTGGGTGCTAGTGAATTGTCCGACCGGCCCACTTCGGTACCGGCACACCGGGAAAAATCCCATTCCAGTCTCACAAAAAAACGTGTAATAACTACGTTGGTCCACAACTTGGGACGTAGTATTTTTACAAAAACGCCTCTGAAATTGTAAGATCCCTAAGTTTTTTTTCACCATTCATTCCAATGGCTGGCGTCTACAGTATGTCAAGTGATCTTCACATTTCTCCCTGCAGAAAAAAAAACATGGCCGAACTTTGTTTTATTCTCGGTGTAAAATGCCTATTTTAAAGATAGTTTGGCCATTAAAATGCGTTTTCATGTCATTTGATGCGAGAAATATGAGTTGTTATTTCAGATTATGTGTGCTGTGTTATCTTTATGCTACCCCCTTCCCCGTCAATGTATAGTGTTGTTCCACAGCGCAAACGTATTAGTTTACAATAATTCCCTGTTGCCCATTTCGTCCTTTTATTAAAAAATTTTTTGGTTTTTTGCCATAGTACGTTATTTTCCCCTGTGGCCATTCCAGTCTCACTGTCACAATCCATCGTCATAACAAGCCTGCGACCAAGTTTTCTCTCGCCTTCTCAGGTATTGAACATTCATTTAATAAAGCACAGTAATAGTTAAATATAAACACAGTAATTTGTGATTATGCTAAATGATTTTACAAATAAACACCACAGCCCACATTTACTAAACTAATTGTACATTCCTGGGTTGTAGGGGTTAGGAAACACGTCAATTAAACATATAATTTTATCTAATGGCGAAATTGCTTGTGCCGTGCTGTAAGGGCAGCTATTAATGTTATTATACCACATGACAGCTAAGGCCAGAAGGGCTTTATTTAAACAGCTGGCTCT